TCTCTTGTTCTCTTTCTCTCTCCACTTTGTTCCTTTTATTTTTTTTCTCCATCTTTATAATCATCACTTGCTACATCTCTTCTGATTTCTCTATGTTCACACTCTGAACATTCTAAACTTTCTTTGGTCTTCTTATCACATTTTCTTCTCTCTTGAAAAACTGTATTTTACCATCTTTTAGAACTATTTGGTTTATATAAATCCTGTCCCCACTATTCATGTTATTGCAGTTAGTTCTATGGATGGAATAACTGGTTGACACCTGTTGTTCAATGTCAAATATAATTCATGGTATTTATTGGTTTTGCTGTTGGCAACTACTGACACCACCATTCCTATTTTTGTGGTAATTAGTGCTGTAGATGTTATAGTGGGCACCAAATATTTGTTTTAACGCTCTATACTGTTTGCATCTGTTGTTGTTAATGTTTGTTTTTCCCTTTTCTGGGACACACTAGGAATCTACCAGGACACTACAAACTCAGAGGGTAGAGACTCTGCTGTGGAGCTAAACCCAGTCAAGAGATACTTCACCTTGCTCCAAACATAAACTACCACACTCAAGTTTCTTTGTTTTGTTGTTGTTGTTTGTTTATTTTGTTTTGTTTTGTATTGTGATGCTGGGATCAAACCCAGAGCCTCATATATGTCAGGCAGACACTCTACCAATGAGCCACATCCCCAGTCCCATACTCAAACTTCAAGGGTACTTTAATACAAAGTATGGAAGAGCCAAAACCCCAAAAGTAAGTCAAGCCCTTTAGTAATTAGTCAAACACTTTAGTACTTAGTTAATAATGGCTAGGATAGGGGTTCTTAGGTCCACTCAAGTATAGCCACTCCTACAGCAAAAACAGAGAGATTAACACAAAGATTGTGGACACCACACCTTCAATGGATCTTCATCTAAATCTCCCTGCTCCCTCTTTAGAATATACATGAAGAAGAGCAATCACAGAGTGTATGCCCCACATACTATTCTGTATAAAACACAATTGTCGGATTAATAAGAAGGACCCCATTCTTTTGAGACCTACAAGGAAAGTGGAATCCTCAAGCTCTAACACAATATACACTGTATCAAACACACTAATCATCACTAAAGAGCTGTCAGGAAAATTATACTCCTAAACCCATTTGGAAATATATTAAAAAATTAACAACACCTGATATCCCATAACTTTAGTAACAGAAGGCTGGATCATAAAAAGGCTCCCACATAAGAATGGAAGAGAAAGCATCCGAACAGATGTATAAACCCAATACAGGAATACATAAAATATGAAAAACAAGGCAATACAATGCTTCTTAAAGTTCATAAGTCACCAGCAACCAACTCCAAAGATATTGAAGTGGATGAAATATCACATAAAGAATTCAAAAGAGGGCTGGGGATGTGGCTCAAGCGGTAGCTCGCTCGCCTGGCATGCGTGCGGCCGGGGTTCGATCCTCAGTACCACATACAAACAAAGATGTTGTGTCCGCCGAAAAACTAAAAAATAAATATTAAAAAATTCTCTCTCTCTCTCTCTCTAAAAAAAAAAGAGAGAGAGAAAGTAATGGTCATTCACATTGGATTAGGGTCCTTCTTAAAAAAAAAAAGAATACAAAAGAATGATTATGAAAATCATCAATGAATGAACGAAGAAAACTCCAATGAATTAAGAAAACCATACAGGATATGAATGAAAAATTCAATATGGAAATAGAGATGTTGAAGAAGAAATAAGTATAAATATTGAAAATGAAAGAAACAATAAATCAAATAGAATGTTCAATTGAAAGTTTCTCTAAATAGCCCATGCTAAAGAAAGAAGAATCTCAGAGTTGCAAGATAATAAAGTGGTCAGTCTTCAACATTCAAACACTATGGAAGAGAAAAAAAGTAACCATAACCAGAATATACAAGAACTTTGGGACATTAAGAGACAAAATTTAAGAAACATTAGAATCAGAGGGTTATGAGAGGCAAGCTAAAGTCATGAATAACCTCTTCCAGAAAATAATAACAAAAATTTCCAAACCTTGAGAATGAGGTGGACATTCAGATACAGGATACAGAAACCCAGATAGACAAGATCAAAACAAAAAACAAAAACCTCTCCAAGTCACATTATAATTAAAATGCCAAACTACTGAACAAGGGTATAATTTTAAAAGCCTCAAGAGAAGAACAAGGGTATAATTTTAAAAGCCTCAAGAGAAAAAAAAAATCTGTATTTCATTTATATACATACACACACACACACACACACGCATATATATATATATATTTCTTGCATCAATATCACACAAAAAAACATATAGGACTAATATATAAACTTGTGGAGATTATACAATATATTTTTTAAAATATTTTTTATAGTAGATAGGCACAATATCTTTATTTTATTTTTATGTGGTATGGTGCTGAGGATGTGCTAGTGCCTCAAATGTGCTAGGCAAGTGTTCTACCAACTGAGCTATATAACCCCAGCTTTACAATATACTTTGGAATGATGGATGAGGGAAGAAATCAGGGGAGAAATTTAAAGATTCTTAGATTCAAACAAGAATAGTGATACAAGATACAAGAACCTCTGGGACACTATAAAAGCAGTTCTAAGAGGAATATTTATAGAAATGAGTACTTATATAATAAAACCATAAAGACACAAAATAAACAACCTAGTGATGCATCTTGAGGCCTTTGAAAAACAAAAACAATTCCAGGTATAGTGGCACATGCCTATAACCTAAATGACTTGGAAGACTAAGGCAGGAGGATCTCGAGTTCAAGACCAGTCTCAGCAACATAGCAAGGCCCTAAAAAACTCAGTGAGACCCTGTCTAAAAATAAAAATATAAAAAAGGTTGGGGATGTAGCTCAGTGGTAAAGTGCCCAAAGTTCAAAGTTCAAAAGTTCAGTACCAAAAAAAAAATCCAAAACTAACAGAAGGAAGGAAACAATTAAGAGCAGGGTTACAATCGATGGAATACGGCTGGGATTGTGACTCAGTGGCAGAGCACTTGCCTTGCACATGTGAGGTACTGGGTTTGATCCTCAGCACCACATAAAAATAAATAAACAAAATAAAGGTATTGTGTCTATGTACAACTAAAAATAACTTTTTAAAAAATCAGTGAAATACAGAATAAAAAATAAAATTGATTAATGAAACAAAAAGTTGAATCTTTATTTTTTTTTAAAGAATTTAACCTTTATTTATTTGATGTTGATTTGTTTTTATGTGGTGCTAAGGATAGAACCCAGGGCCTCATCCATCCCTAGGCAGCCACTCTACCACTTAGCCACAACCCCAGCCCAAGAGTTGAATCTTTGAAAAGGTAAGATTGATAAACACTTAGCCAAACTAACCAAAACAAAGAAAGAAAAGAAACCCAAATTAATGAAATTAGAGATGAAAAGGGAGAAATCACCACAGACATCACATAAATCCAGCAGATCATTAGGTATATTTTGAAAACTTATAGTTGGAAAACGTATAAGGAAAGGATATACTTCTAGACACATATGGCCTCTCAAAATTGAATCAAGAGAACATAGAAAAACCTAAATAATTCAGTAACTAGCAATGAAAGAGAAGCAGTAATAAAAAGCCTTCCAACAAAGAAAAGCCCAGGACCAGATGGATTCTTAGCTGAATTCTACCAGAACTTTAAAGAATTAATGCCAATGTTCCTCAAATTATTCCATGAAATAGAAAGGGATAGAACTTTAACTTTCTAATTCATTCTATGAGAGCCAGGCATACGCCTACAATCCCAGTGGCTCATGAGGCTGAGGCAGGAGGATCTTGAGTTCAAAGCCAGCCTCAGCAACAGTAAGGTACTAAGCAACTCAGTGAGACCCTGTCTCTAAATAAAACATAAAATAGAGCTTGGGATGTGGTTCAGTGGTTGAGTGCCCCTGAGTTCAATCCCTAGTACCATTTGCATCCCGCCCCCAAAAAAACCCTAAATTTATTCTATGAAACCAGTGTCACCCTGATACTAAAACTAGATAAGGTCACATCAAGGAAAGAAAGCAACAGATCAAAATCATTGACAAACTTAGATGCAAAATTTCTTAATAAAATATTAGCAAATCATATTCAATAACATATTAAGAAGATTATACATACTGACCAAGTTTGTTTTATTCTGAGGTGTAAGGATAGTTCAATGTGTGCAAATCAATAAATGTAATTCACCATATGAATAGAATTGGAGACAAAAATCACCTAGTCATCTCAAAAAATGCAGAGAAAGCTCAAATAACCTACTACACTTTTTCTTTTTTTTCCCAGTAGTAGGGATTAAACCTAGAGACTGAGTCATATCTCCAGCACTTTTTTTTTCTTTCCATTTTAAGACAAAGGGGCTGGGGTTGTGGCTCAGAGGAAAAGCACTCGCCTAGCATGCTTGAGGCACTGAGTTCGATTCCCAGCACCACATAAAAATTAAATAAAGGTATTGTGTCCATCTACAACTAAAGAATAAATGTTTTTTTAAAAAGTGAACATAAGCATCATTTTAAGACAAAATCTTACTAAGTTGCTTAGGGTCTCACTAAATTGTTGAGGCTGGCCTCAAACTTGTGAATCTCCTGCCTCAGCCTTCCACGTCACTGGGAGCACACATGTATACCACTAAACCCAGCCAGAAGTCCCATGCTTTATTAACTCTTTCCAAATTGTTGAATGGAATTCATTTGTTGAATGAATGACTTTCAAATTAAGTAGATAAACTAACCTGAAATTCAATAATTTGACCCCTTTGAACACTAGTTTCATCACTGATTTAAAAAGAGCTTGAACTAAATAACTCTTTAAGATTCTTTACTGTTCTAAAATACCAAGGTCTATGTGTACATATATGGTAAAATTACAGCTTTTAGAATGTATCATTTATTAAATAACTGTGACAAATCATGGTATATATTGCTTACTAACAGACTCTATTTATGATATATGGGCAAAGTTTCTCATAAAAACTCCAAAATAATAAGTGAAACTCACTTTTGTTTCAAGACCTCTCTTATACATCTTCTCAAAGCCAAGAGCCAAGGCACAATCTGCCATACCTTAAAGAAAAATGTAATTATTTTGAAAATGTAAATTTCCAGATACCCAACAAAATAACATTAAATACTTCAATTAAAATAAGTATAATAATTTATATAAAATGCAAAAATATATTATAAGTCTACAAAATTTTTGATAAATAAAAAATTACATAGAAAAGTCTTACATGCTTGTAGATAAGAAAAAACATTCAAAAAGAAATGCTAATTCTTCTCTTGTGTCTTAATATGCCAATAAAGGTTTTAATCAGTGGGCATGGTGGTGCACATTTGTAATCCCAGCTACTCAGGAGACTAATACAGGAGGATCACAAGTTCCAAGGCAGCCTGGGCAACTTAGACTCTGCCTCAAAGTAAACATAAGAGCTGGGGATGTAGATTGGTTGTAGAGCACTTAATTAGCTATGCTAATCAATGATGTGAGTTCTATCCTAGCATCACACACACAAAAAAAAAAAAAAAAAAAAGAAAGAAAGAAAATTGATTAATGTGGAAATATGTTTCAATGAAAAACAAATATAAAAAACTAATCCTGGCTGAGCATGGTGGCACATGCCAGTAATGACAGCAACTTGGGAGGCTGAGGCACAAGAGGATCTGGAGTTGAAAGCTAGCCTCAGCAGATTAGCAAGGCACTTAGCAACTCAGCAAGACTTTGTATCTAAATAAAATATAAAAAGATATAAAAAGGGCTGGGGACTTGGCTCAGTGGTTAAACCCCACTGGGTTCAATCCCTGGTACCAAAAAAAAAAAAACTAATCCTGAATTTTAAAGAAGTGGTCAATTAAATGGAAATTTTAACTAAAAATTTAAAAGAATCAAAATCAAAATCTCAACAGAATTGTTTTTGAAGTGAGGAAACATCTAAAAACAATGTTAAAGTTCAACTAAAAAGCAAAACATGACAAAATTGCCAAATATTTTCTTTAAAAAACAGAAGATAAAGCCAGACATCATATCTATAATATAATCTCAGCTACTCAAGGAGGCTGAGTCAGGAGCCCTGAAAATATGAGGCAAGCCTCCTGAGTAATGGGAATTACTAGTGTATATAACCACACCTGGCTTTGTGTATAATTTGTGTGTGTGTGTGTGTGTTCTCAGTTCTTGTGGATACACATCATATTCTATATCTCCAAATATTCTAGGGTCTTTTATTAAGCTCTCTATTCTGTTCTACCAATTCAATTGTTGATTACTGTTCTACTACTCAGTGTTTTAATTCTTGGAGTTTTGTATCTTACCGTTTGATAAAACTAGTGTCCCTTGTTCCACTTCCTTGTTATTTTTCTTTCTTTTGCTTTATATTTATTTATTTATTCATTCTTTTCTTTCTCAGCAATATTGGGGCTTGAACCCAGAGCTTCATACATGCCTCTCACATGCTAAGCAAGTGCTCTGCCACTAAGCTATATCCCCAGCCCTTTTTATTTTGAGAAAGGGCCTTTTGAAGTTGTGTACAAATTTTAAAATTATTTATAGTGATGTTATGCATAACAGCAAAAAATACAGAAACAAGATAAAATATGGTATATCACACAAAGAAATATTATTTGGCCATAAAATAGGAATGAAATGGGCTGGGATTGTGGCTCAGTGGTAGAGCACTTGCCTAGCACATGTGAGGCACTGGGTTCAATCCTCAGCACCACATAAAATAAATAAATAAATAAATGAAATAAAGGCGCTGTGTCCATTTACAACTAAAAAAAATATTTTTAAAAAAAGAAATAAAATACTAATATATGCTATAACATGAATTAAAACATTATGCTATGTGAAAGAAACCACAAAAAGCCTTGTATTATATGATTCTGTTCATATAAGTGTTCAGAATAGGTAAATCAACAGAGATTAAAGTGGATTAAGGTTTGCTAGGGGCTGACGGGAAAGGGAAATGAGGAGTAACTGCTAATAGATACAGAGTTTCTTTTTCTTTTCTTTCCCTTTTTTCCTTTTTTTTTTTTTTCTGTTCTAGGGATTGAACCTAGGCCCTTGCACATACAAGACAAGCACTCTAACTTGTCCTCAGCCCTTTATATTTTTTGAGAAGGACCTCACTAAATTGCCAGGGCTAGTCTCCAATTTGCGATCCTCCTCTCATCTTCCCAAGTACCTGGGATTATAGGTGTGTAGCACCATGCCATCTCAAGGTTTCTTTTTGAGTAATAAAAATGTTCTAAAATTAGATAGTGATGATGACTGCACAATTCTATGAATATAATGAAAAACACTGAATTGTATGTGTCAAAAGGGTGAATTAACCAGGAAATAGTCCCACACTTATTCAAGTACACTAGATATATAACCTCTTCTTACCTCCCTGAATCAGTTGCCGGGCCATAAACAAAGCAGTAGAACCAGTGGAACAGTTATTGTTAACATTGATTATAGGAATTCCAGTCAGTCCCAAACTGTGATAGATAGCCCTCTGCCCACAGGTAGAATCACCTATACAGAAAAACAAATTAAAATTTTAATGCCAATAATACAGGAATCATGGAACTGTAACACAATATAATATTGCATTATGTTTTTTCAGAATCATGCCTTTGCCTAGCATACAACACGGGCAGGACGTATACATTATTGACATCTGTTACAGTTGAATTGTGAAGTGTTCCCCGAAAGCTCATGTGTGAGACAATGCAAGAAGTTTAGAGTTTGAAATGACTGAGTTATGAGAGTCTTAACCTAATCCATGTGTTAAGTCACTGGATGGTAACTGTAGGCAGGTAAGGAATGGCTGGAAGAGGCGGGTCCATGGGGGCAGGCACTGGGGTATATAAAATATATACCTTGTTGAATGCAGCACTCCCCACCCCACACCCGCTCTGGGTGGCCATGTACTGACCTGCTTTCCTGTGCTATAGTATTCCACCATGATGTTCTGTCTCACCTCAAACCCCAAGGAATGGAGACATCTATGAACTGAGACTTCTGAAACCATTACTCTCAAGTAAACTTTTCCTCCTTTAATTATTCTTGTCAGGTCTTTTGATCATAGCAGTGAAATATCTGACTAAAATAACACCTTATTTAGAAACAGTTTTAGCATTAAGCATCATATACTCTTCAAAAATAAAAAAGTATCAAAACAAAGAACATACGTACACTTTCTTTATATAATACAGAGGTGGAAAAGTAGAGAATTGACACTATAGTAGTAAAGAATTCAATCTGGGTAGTGGTATGGACCACTATTTCATGAATACTTGACTATCAGAAATAATTTTGCTTTTTTAGTGCTAGGGATTGAACTCAGGGCCTCACACATACTAGACAAGCACTCTACCATTGAGTTATATCCCCAGACTTCTTTATTATTTTGAGACAGGGTCTCACTCACTAAGTTGCCCAGGCTGGTCTCCAATTTACAATTCTCCTTCCTAAGTCTCTTGAATAGCTGGGATTACAGGCATGCACCAACATGCCTAGCTTGGTATGTAAATTTTTAAAACTATACCAACGATTGAAGGCCATTATTTTTAACATTTCATATACACACTACACAACTTAAACCAAGTGTGGCAGCATATACCTCTAGTCCCAGCTACTTGGGAGTCTGAGACAAGAGGATTATATGATCCCATGAGGTCAGGACCACATCAGTTTAGGAAACCAGGTCTCAAAATAAATAAATAAAGACTTCACAATTTCAAAAAGTTTGAAAGAGCCTATGTACAAGGGCAATCCAGAAAAATGTGATCCATATTGAATACACATGTGACTTCTCCCAAGTAACACCACCAAGGCAGAAATTCTGGAGCAGTAAGATGAGAACATTGGAAGGTAGACTCTCCAGCAAGGTTTAAGAACATCCTTTTCATACACACATTTTTTATTTTGAATCAGCAAGTTTCCCTCCTAGGATTCCCTTGATATCTTGAGATCTCAAGGAAATAAATAACAGGCACAAAAATTCATCTGCAGTGATATTTCCTATAATATTTACAGTATTTTCATAACAACTAGAAATTTGAAGTAACTTTAAATGTCAAGAACAAAGTATCATTACTACCACTAAATAAGCTGCAGTAGATCTCCAAGACTAGAACTCATGTAATCATTAAAAATGCTATGTGATTGTTATACAAAATTACATATAAGAGGATGTGAGGGGAAAGGGAAAAAAATCAAGGGAGAGAAATGAATTACAGTAGATGGGGTAGAGAGAGAAGATGGGAGGGGAGGGGAGGGGGGATAGTAGAGGATAGGAAAGATAGCAGAATACAACAGTCACTAGTATGGCAATATGTAAAAACGTGGATGTGTAACCGATGTGTTTCTACAATCTGTATACGGGGTAAAAATGGGAGTTCATAACCCACTTGAATCAAATGTATGAAATATGATATGTCAAGAGCTTTGTAATGTTTTGAACAACCAATAAAAAAAAAAGGAAAAAAAATGCTATGTGAGGGGATGGGGTTATGGCTCAATGGTAGAGTGCTTGCCTGGCATATGTGAGGCCCTGAGTTCAATCCTCAGCACCGCATATATTTATTTTTTATTCTAATTTGTTATATATGATACAAAATGCATTACAATTCATATTACACATACAGAGCACAATTTTTCATATCTGTGGTTGTATATAAAGTATATTCACACCATCTGTGTCTTCATACATGTACTTAGGGTAATGATGCTCATCTTCCTCCCATGCTCTCTCTTCCCCACTATGAATCAGCCTCCTTAGAGAAAACATTCAGCATTTAGTTTTTTGGGATTGGCTAACTTCACTTAGCATTATATTCTCCAACTCCATCCACTCACCTGCAAATGCCATGATTTTATTCTATTTTATTGCTGAGTAATATTCCATTGCTCAGCACCACATATAAATAAATAAAATAAAGGTATTGTGTCCACCTACAACTAAAAAAATATTTTTAAAAAAATGCTATGGAAATAAGGGGAAGATACTAGCCAAAGGGCTCAAACTTTCAGTTTTAAGATAAACAAATTCTGGAGTTTTAATGTACATCATAGTTGGCAATGGATAAGCTAATTAATTTGATTATGATAATCATTACACAACATATACATATATCAAATCATTTTATACACCTTAAATGTATTCAGTATTTATTTAACAAATACTTTTAAAATGCTAAAAATAAAAAAATCCTAAATATCCACTGAAAGTGGATGGATTAGGAGCTGGGATTGTGGCTCAGTGGTAGAATACTTTCCTAGCATGTGTGAGGCACTGGGTTCAATTTTCAGCACCACATGTAAATAAATGAACAAAATAAAGGCCCAACAATATCTTTTTTTTTTCCAACAATATCTAACAAAATATTTTTTTAAAAAGTGGATGGGGGCTGGGGATGTGGCTCAAGCGGTACCGCACTCGCCTGGCATGCGTGCGGCCCGGGTTCGACCCTCAGCACCATATACAAAAACAAAGATGTTGTGTCCGCCGAAAACTAAAAAAGTTCTCTCTCTCTCTCTTTTTTTAAAAAAAAAAAAAAAAAGTAGATGGATTAGCTAGGCATGATGGTGCACACCTGTAATCCCAGTGACTCGGGAGGCTGAGGCAGGGGGATCACAAGTTTGAAGCCAGCCTCAGCAATTTAGCAAGACCCTAAGAAATTGAGTGAAACCCTGTTTCAAAATAAAAACATAAAAGGGCTGGGGATGTAGCTCAGTGGTAAAGCACCCTTGGGTTCAATTCCCAGCACCCCCCTCCCCTGAAATTGGATGGATTAAATAAAATATGATACATTTATTTAATAAAACACTACTCTATAAAGAAAGACTAATGAAGCCCTTTATAATATGAACTTAAACCACTAAACAAACAAAAAACAGGATACAAAATAATACTTATGCTACCATGTGGGTAACAAAAGTAAGGGGAAAGGGAAATTACATATGCACACACATGTTTATATATGCATCAATTATTTCTGAAAAGATACACTAGTAATTTGGAAAACTGGTTGTATGAGGAAAGAAAACTACAGGACAGGTAGAGTAAAAGTGAGACTTCACACTATATAACCATTGTATAATCTTTCATATTTTTGAATCAAGTGAATATTTAATCCATTCCAAAAAATAATAAGTTTAACTGGAAAATGTTAATGATGGTAGGAGACTTAATGAGATGGGAAATGTTCAATGTAGTAAAATGAGAAAAGCAGATTACAAAAAAAAAAAGACCTTATTTTCTTTAAGAGAAATCCTATGTACATGCTTATGCACACACACATGCTCACTAAAGGATATAAACCAATAAATCAATGGAGACTGGCTTTGTATAACAGGATTAGAGGTGACTTGTTTCATCTTATGCTTTTAGGGGGGTTCCTTTTTTTAAACAATTAGCATGTATCATTTTTCTAATCAGAAAAATTCTGTTAGACAAAAAAAGTCAATAAATACAAATTTTAAGACAACAAAGAATAAAATTTATCTTCTGAACACTAACAGATGAAGATACCTTACATGGTAGAATTATGAATAATTCTTCTCTTTAAAGGTCAAAATGTTTTTTTTTTAATTCATCTACTGTTTTGGCAATACAATAATGGCACCAAAAAAAAATTACAGTAGGTCGACACATAAGGAAACCTATAATGATGGGAATAGGATTCTGAATTCTATATTTTGAGGCTTATAATTCACAAAAGCCTCTATCATTTATGTAGCTGCTGCCATATCTAGGTGAGTAATTTTTAAAACGTGGTTTACCACCTACCATAAACGTAGCCAACGCACGCCTGCTCCACTGCCGAGTAGGGGATCTGCGCATCAGCTAACGCCTTCTGGCCTAGAAAACAAAAGGGCTGTGTCAAAAGGTACTTGAAGTATTTGCTTTGAGTGAATAAAAATTAAGTTCAGAGTTTCCTCAGGGTTAATTTACCTCTATATAATCTATGTTCAATTCAAATAAAAATCCTTCTCAAATCATCTCAGCTCTCTCCTTTTAGAAGTAATCATGTTTCCTCGAGACTATAGCATTACTTTTCCATATCACCTTCTTTGATACTTGACACTTCGTGTCCTAACTACAAACCTAACTATAAATATAAGGTTCTTATCTTGTTCATCTCCGTGGTTCCATCATACATGTAGAAGGCAAAGGAGACACAGTCTCACTCCTGGGGTTAAGGTTGGTGGGGGACAAATGATGTGTTCATTCCTACAAAACCAGTGGTCCTGTCTATAGAGCAAGAAAGGAGATTTAATGGTATCCATAGAGGGCTGAAATGACCCTGAGTAAAATTAAGTATATAAACTGGAAAAAAGACTGAAAGGTTGGGGCTAGAGGAATACTCAGTAGTAGAGTACTAGTCTCACATGCACGACATCCTGGGTTCAGTCTGCAGCACTGCAACAAGACAAAAAAAAAATAAAGACTGGATATAATCCCAAAAAACCAAAGGCCGAATGTTTTCTCTGATAAATGGATGCTAATCTGTAATGGGGGCAGGTAGGAAAGATGGTGGAATGGGATGAACATCATTACCCTAGGTACATGTTTGATTGCATGAATGGTGTAACCTTACTTTGAGTACAACCAGAGAAGTCAAAAATTGTGCTCCATTTGTGTACAATAAATCGAAGAGCATTCTGCTGTCGTGTATAACTGATTAGAATAAATAAATTAATTTTAAAAAAACAGAGGCTGTAGAAGTGTGAGCTAAATACTCGTCTACCATAGTGAGATGCAGATATCTAAAACCAACTATTAAAAAACTCCAGTAAGCATTTATATATGTAGATAAGCACCAGAAAAACTAAAGCTAAAGAGTTTGGTATTTTTTTTAAGTTTCCACTTGGAAATAGGCCTAGGAATTTTAAGCCATTCTGTACTTCATTTTAAAACCATATGATATATATTACTTTGGTTTGTTTGTTTTAATTTTTTGTAGTTGTAGATGGAAGAATGCTTTTATTTTTTTGTTTATTTTTATGCAGTGCTAAAGATCAAACCCGGCACTTCACATATGCTACGTAAGCGCTCTGCCACTGAGCTACAGCCCCAGCCCTCATATTTACTAATTTATTTATTTTAATTAGGTGTATATAACAGCAGAATCATTCTGATTCATTGTACACAATTGCAGCACAACTTTTCATTTCTCTGGTTGTACACAATGTAGTGTCACACCACATGTGCAGTCTACATGTACCTAGGGTAATGATGTCCATCTCATTCCACCATCTTTCTTGCCCCCATACCTGACCTCATATTTTTTTTATTAATTTAAGAAGGTATATAATTGCTTATGGGATTAGTTTGGTCAGAAAATAAGTTATCTTTTCCGGCTCAGAGTATAAGCAAAAAACAAACAAAAAAAAAATCTTTTATAATAATGTTAGTGAGATCATGTTTCCTGAGGGAAAGGAAGATAGAATAATGGAAGTGACAGGACACTTCTGGTTGTGCCCCTCTCCATTCCATGCATTTAGGGAAAGAACATGGTGGCAGAACCCCCCTCCTACAGCCACTTTGGAGAAGTAGAGGGTAGAATTTCTTGATCCATTACTCCATGAAACAAATCCCGCTGCCTCAGTACATCTACAAATGAACCTATAGAGAGTAAAATGCTCTCATTTACAAGAAGGAGCTCAGGTGTTTTTCCCTCCAAATTGTGTTTAAATAAATGTTCGATCAAATGTTACCAATATGGTCTGAGGGTACTTAAGGTGAAATGTATGGGTGGAATTCTTTTTTACCCCCAGTATTGGGGATCAAACCCAACGCATTGTACATGCAGGGTAAGTGCTCTCACTGAGCTACATCCTCAGCCCAACACTAAGTTTAAAGTCTATTCTATATAAAATGTTCTTATTTATTTTTCCACTATTGCTTGCAAAGGATTTACAATAACAAGAAACCTGACTTGATTAAACTCACCCTGCAGAGAAAGGCAGAAAATAGTCACAAGAAGAAAATTTATCAACATGGAGTATAAACCTTAAATGGTGTCTACCCTAAAAACCAACAGAAGTTAGTTAATTAAATATCATGAATCTTCCTTTTGGGGGATGAGATGCTCTAATTTCTCATACAAAATCTAAATATTGAGTTGCATACTAAGTTGATGCAAATCTAAATATATATGTACACAGGGTACTCACAGAAACAAGCAAGAACATCTTATTGTGGAATAACCACAATAATTCTTTTTGGTTTTCCCAGCAACAAACTAACAGGAACCAGGGTGGAGGAGATTCCTAGGGCAAGGATCATGCCTAACACTGGCATTTAAGCTTAGACTACATGCTTCTTCCTTCCTCCCTCCCTCTCTTCCCTTCTTTTCATTTATTTACTTATTTAAACCATGCAAAGAAGCTCTCATGTATGTCCTCTTTAAAGAGAAAGAAAGGGGCTGGGGATGTGGCTCAAGCGGTAGCGCGCTCGCCTGGCATGCGTGCGGCCTGGGTTCGATCCTCAGCACCACATACAAACAAAGATGTTGTGTCCGCCGATAACTAAAAAATAAAAATATTTAAAAAAAAAAAAGAAAAGAAAGAGGCTGGGTGCGGTGGCTTATGCCTGTAATCCCAGCAGCTCTGAAGGCTAAGGCAGGAGGATCACAAGTTCAAAGACACTCTCAGCAACTTAATGAGACCACAAACAATTCAACTGTTTCCAAATAAAATTTTAAAAGGGCAACAAAAGGACTAGGGATGTGGCTCAGGGGTTAAATGCCCCTGAGTTCAATCCTTGGTAGGGAGAGAGGGGGAGAGAGAGAGAGAGAGAGAGAAAACAATCAAAGAGGATCCCTGCTGGAGCTCACACCCATAATTCAGGCAGGTGCAACATGGTCCAAGTTTGTCTCTGAAGAACACCAAATACATTCTCCTGTGGATTCTTCTCTCTCGAGTTTCAGCTCACAAGTATTCACCCAAGTCCTTTGCTTGCTAGCACTAACACTAGAATATATAATAACAAAGTGCACTCCAGCATTTAGTCATGCAGTAGTAGCCTAGTAATAGAAAAATAATCATCAAGGTTGGCTCAGCAAAGTGAAGAAAGAAAAACTACCATATAGGTACTTAAAACATTTTGAATGTGGTTATCCCTTTTCCAGAAAAGGAAGACATTAATTTTGTTACAAATCCAAAGAAGAACAGATATTAGAATCTAGTTATCTGTTTTTAATAACCCTACCTTTCTTTCCCAGAGATCCATTTACCATTCTACAAACAGCTGGATAACACATAAAATCAGAAGCCACTATCTGTCCTGGCTCTATATCGGTTAAGAACAGCCAAGGTCCTTTTCCTTTCCCTTTCTCTTTTCTAGTGAACCACTAGGCAATGTGCCACATAATTTTTTCCCTTTCGCCTGGATTCCTTTTGCTTGCCAGGCTGCTCCCCTTATGCAATAAAGACAGACCACATAATAAACTATGAATATTCAAAGATCTAAATTTTCTCTATTACCTGCTTCTTTTGCCAAGTCAGGGTAATCTCTTGAATTCTCAACTCCAGGCTTCACAAACTAGAATGTAGAAGAAGATAATAAACAGAAACAAGTACAATTAGAATTTTTCACAATAAAGCATCATAGAAATTCATTGACTATTTATTCAAACAAAAATATATTATTGAGAACTTGCCATGTTCCTCAACTGTCATTATAAATAACGTACAGTTCTTGCCCTCTGGGAACTTCTAGTCTAATGTAAAACAGGCAATTACACTATAGTATCATAAGCGCAGAATGATTTGTGAGAGACATGTACCTAGCTTAAGTGAGAGCAGAAAGTAAGACCATTTTTTTCTCTATAGAATAATTAAATATAACAGATAATTAATATAACAGATTCAAGCACAATGAAGAAAATAGAAAGTGATAAGGACATAAAAGTAATTTAGGATCAAATGATAATAACTAATATTTATTTGGCATTTATGTGTAATATGCATTGTGCTAAACATTTCATATGTAATAACTTGTCCAATCCTCACAATTTTGCAAATAAGAAAACAAGGACACAGAGAAATTAAGCAATTTGTGCAAAGGCACTTAGCTAATAAGTAGTGGAACTGAACCATCAGACAGTCTAAGTCTACAGCCAACTCATGAAGGACCTTATATGCCCTATTACGAGGTCCTGAAGACAATGGATTTTTTAAGAGAATGGAAAATAATGATATGCCACCATCTACTAGAAGAAGAGTAAAACCCCAAAACAATGACAATATCAAATGTGGCAAGAATGTGAAGCAATAAGTACCCTCATTCATTGCTTGGTGGACCTGCAAAATGGTACAACACTTTAGAAGACAGCTTGGCAGTTTTCATAAAATTAAACAAACTCATATATGATCCAATAATCACATCTTGGCATTTACCCAAAGGAGCTGAAAAGTTATAGCCACAGAAAAATCTACACATAGATGTTTAGCAGCTTTCTGCATAGTTGTCAATTATTGAAAGCAACAAAGATGTCCTTCAGTAGATGAATGGATATAGTACATCAAAACAATGGAATATTATTTGGTGATAAAAAGAAAAGAGCTATCAAGCCTCGAAAGGACATGAAGGAATGTTTAATGTATACTAATGAAAGAAACCAATCTGAAAAGACTGCCTACTGTATTATTCCAAGTAAATGACATTCTATAAAAAGGGTAAAATTATGAAATCAATAAAAAGATCAGGGGTTGGGAAGGTAGGGAAAGATGAACAGGTGGAGCACCAGGGCTTTGTAGGGCAATAAAACTACTCTGTAGGATGCCCTAATGATGGATATATGTCATAAATTTGTTGAAACACTAAGAGTGAGCCCTAATGTAAACCATGGTCATTGGGTGATAATTACATGTCCATGTAAGTTCACAGATTGTTATAAATGTATCACTGTGGCATGGATTGTTGATAGTGGAGGAAGCTATGTGTATTGGTTAGGAGAAACAGGATATGGGAAATCCCTGTGCTCTGTGCTCAATTTTGCTGTGAACCTAAAACTGCTCTGAAAAGCAAAAACTTGGATGCATGCAAAGTGGAGAAAGGAATGAAAGGAGCAAGGCTATAGGCAGTGACACCAATTGGCATAATTCTAAATCAGTCCAAGTGAGAATTAACTATGACAGTATCAAAAAGAATGGAAAAAGGTAGATGGACATGGAAACAAAAGAAATAAAATCTACTGAACTTAGTGACTGATTAGATAAGGTGAAATGATTTGCTGATCGGTGAGCATGTTAAAAGAAATGGATTCCAAACATTCTTTTGACTGCAAACCACAATAAGATACACTTTATAACACAATAAAGTATACCCATGAAACCACATGATGGTAGCAAAAATTTCATAAAATAATTATCCTTGTTTAGCATAAGTATTCTTAGATACAATATTTGGCATTTTATTTCAATTTTTCTTTTAATGCTAAAGGTCACCTTCTATATTGATTTCATTATACAAAACACTGTTTGAAATACCAGATACTTGATGGTTTGAAATGCTAGATACTTGACTTAAATGGTACACTAATTACACAGTGCCAAAATATAACCATTAAACTGAACAAAACATTGGACATGTGTTCCTATCTGTGAACTATTCTAATTCTTCTCCATAGTTCTTGAATTAGGGATTCCTTTTTAATTCCCTAATACAGTATTCACCAGTTACAGTGAGATCATTTATACATAGTACCTTTCATAAAAGTACTGTGCTAGACCCCAACAAGCAGTATCCAGTAATAATTAAATTATCATCTATATAGTAAAGATTAGTCAAGCAAACACATACTTTTCCCTTTCAAAATTAAAAGCAAATTTAGAATGAAACTACCAAATGTCCTTTAATAACTGATTAGAAAAAATATGACATTTAGCAAAGATTTGCCCCTACCCTCAAATTCCTTGCAGTACTGGAGGTTGAACCCATAGGCACTCTACCACTAAGCTATATCCCTGGCCATTTTTATTTTTCGAGTCAGGATTTCACTAAATTACTGAGGTCAAGTGTTGAGACTGCCTAGAATTTATGGTCCTCTTACCTCGGGTTCCCTAGTCCCTGATTACAGGAGTGTACCTGGCAAAAAAAAAAAAAAAAAAAAACTTTCTTTTGAGGCCAGGTGAGATAGCACACACCTGTAATCCCAGTGTCTCGGGAGGCTGAGGCAGGAAGACTGCAAGTTCAAAGCCAGCCTCAGCAAAAGCGAGGCACTAAGCAACTTGGTGAGACTCTGTCTCTAAATAAAATACAAAATAGGGCTGGGGATGTGGCTCAGTGGTTGAATGATCCTGTGTTCGATCCGAGGTATCCCCCCCACCCTCCACCACCATCAAAAAACGAAAAAACAACCTCTCTTGAACATTTCTAGCTAGAATTCCGAACCCTCATCTCAAATGAGAACACTAACATGGTTTCTAATAGTTCAAGGCCATACCCCTAAAAGATCCTTGCCCATTTTAGAAAATTCAAGGCTGCTACAAAAAAAAAAAAAAAAGTATTGTGCTTCATTCAACACCTAAGGATAGACAGATTGTCTCCTGGTCTCTGAGATGAGCTAAAATCCTAACTTTAATAACTGCCTGCTAGCAGACACAGCAGGCCTAATTGAATTTATACCAATATTTATTACTTTTCATTTCCTGTACTCTACTGAGCCCCTTCTGGTCCCCCTACCTACCCTTCATTCTTCCTTTAAATCATCCAGTTACTTCTGTACAAAATGTAGTTGAATTTAGTACAGGCTGGACTCCTTTCTCTACCAACTAGTTATTGCAGATTAAAAGCTATCCTTATAGACTGGGGCTGGGGCTCAGTGGTAGCATATTTGCCTGGCATGTGTAAGGAACTGGGTTCAATTCTCCGCACCGCATATAAATAAATAAAGTTATATTAACAACTAAAAAAAATTTTTAAAAAAGGGGGCTAAGGGGGCTGTGGTTATGGCTCAGTGGTAGAGTGCTCGCCTTACATGTGCAAGGCCCTGGGTTCGATCCTCAGCACCACATAAAAAAATAATAATAAATAATAAAGTTATTTAAAAAGGGGGGGGGGGGGGCTAGGGATGTGGCTCAATGGTTAAGCACTCCTGAGTTAAATCCAAAACTAATCCATAGTATCAAAGGTCAGAAGTCAGGTTAATGGCAACACTTTGCTGGAAGGGAGTCAGTGACTCAAAGAGGGCACAAGGCCAACTTCTGGGATTTCTGTTTATATTTGTTTCTTAATTATTTTTTAACCAAAGAAATGCAAGAAAAAAAAAGTGCCACATGACTTATTATAAAAACAGCCATCCTCTGTTTCACTATGCCCTACAAAGTCTTACTTGCTCCTAAAACATGCACTTTAGATTTTTTTTAGGTATTTTTTCTGATATAAACTGCCTTCTAAATATTCTTACAGTATTATTTCTTTGTCAATTTAAGAAGTTATATCATGGTCTCTGTTAATAGTTTGGACCTATAGTTTTGGATCTATAATGTCCCCCAAGGGCTCGTGTATTGAAGGTTTGTCCCCAGTGCAGTAATGTTCAGGTGGGGCTTTTAGGAAGTAATTGGATTATGAGGATTCTGATCCCACCAATGGATGTACCATCCATTGTTGGGTTCATAATTAAATGGACTATGAGGTGGCAGAAATGGTGGGAGGTGGGGCCTAGTTAGAGAAAGTAGGTCACTGGAGGAATGCCTTTGAAGGGTATGTTTTGTCCCCAGCCCATTCCTCTCTTTCTCTCTCCTAAGGAAAGGCATAGTCACCAGGTGGTAAAAGGGATGTTGGAATCTGATTGTTTCATAGAACAGTTTTTCTTTTCTTCCTGCCTTACTCAGTAGCCACTATGTCCAAGCCTTAAGCCTTCTGAAGTTCTGGAGGAAGACTCAGCCAGTATTACCCCTCTTCCAGAACTTGGTTTGTGGGCTCCTCTGCTGAGTCAATGATCACTTCTCCAACAGCTTTTAGTTTTCCAAAATTTTTCTGACATTTCTCTGTTAATTTCCTCTCCTATTCACATTGCTCTTATATGTCAATACCTTTTTATTTCCTTATTGTTGTTTTAGTGAAATTTGGAAAGCACCAATAGAGATAAATTCATGATTTTGGTCTGCCATGTTTAACCAAATGTCCCAAATCAACCTTGTTTATTATTTGTTTATCCTTTTCTCCTCCAGATTATACATTCCTTAAGAATAGGAATCTTGTTGGTGGTGTTTTTTTTTCTTCCTTTCTTTTCATTTTTGCCATCCCTAGCAAATACCACACAGTAAATGTATTAAGTATATGCTTAAATGATGAAAGCACTCTCCATATTCCCCATCTCTTCCCTCAGGATTATTAACATATCCCCCCACCTCCCAACTTGAGAAAAAATACATCTCCTACTTTTGTGAGAAACTGCTTTTCTAAACATCATATAATCAGACATTCAACACCAATGGAAGATACCTAAAAATGGAACACACTGTTTTACTGTTCACCTCTTCCATGAAACAACAGGATGATCTCCAAGCTTCTGCTTTATAACATAGAAGTCAACTTTTCTATTTTGATTGAACTACATGCTCTTAGCCCAATGATAAGATAATAATAAATGCTGCCTAATAATTAATGCTGCCTTCACAGAAAAAAAAAAATCTCTCCAGGAACTCTTTCAGTGAGTACATCCATTTAATATTGTTCAACTAACATCTATCTATTAAGGATCTTCAGGCACCTTCAGGGTGGGAGGGGAACAGCAGAGAATAAATAAAACATGGTACCCACCCTGCAGCAGCTTACAAGAGGAGAAAGAGAATTTCAGTACAACATAGTAAGTTGTAAGATAGAGGTAAGTACAAGGCACTGTGAGAAGGCCAGGAGGATCAGAGGTTTTCTGGGGAAGAGATCTGATCTGATCCTTTAAGACCTGGTGGCCCATGCCTATAATTCCAGCTACTAGGGAAGCTGAGTCAGAAGGAGCACAAATTCCAAGCCAACCTGGGCAAGACCCTGTCTCAAAATAAAATATAAAGAGCTCAGTGGTAGAGCACCCCTGGGTTCAATCCCCAATACCAAAAACGAAAAGGATCCCTTCTTCTAGGCAAATGTGGTGGTACATGCCTGTCTGTAATCCCAGTAACTAAGGAGATTGAAGCAGTAGTATCCCAAGTTCGAGGTCAACCTCAACAATTTAGCAAGACCCAGTCTCAAAATAAGAAATAAAAAGAGCTGGGGCTGGGGATATAGCTCAGTTGGTAGAATGCTTGCCTCGAATGCACAAGGCCATGGTTTCAATCCCCAGCACCACCAACTAAAAAAAAAAAGCTCAGTGGCAAAGCTACCATGGATTCAATCCCCAGTATGGGTCAAGGGTCGGGGCTGAAGACAAATGATACAAATAATTACAAGAGAAACTTAAAACGAAAGAAACTAATGGCAATTTGGCATTATTCTAGCACAGAAGTGTTGAAGAGAGACACTTCTGGCCTCCTGAGGACCAGGCAAACACAAAAAGATCAGAGAACCCAGGAAACCTGCCACCAGTGCCAAGACGCTGAGGATCATTAATGTTTGCTCCCCAACCACTTCTGGAGATGGTTCTGAGATAGGGCACTACAAGTACTTTGGGGGGGGGGGGGAGAACTGGTGACATTCACGACCAAGCATGCTTCCCTTTGGAACAGCTGTTGCCCTGTGCACATACTTCGGGACTCCACTTATAATCAAAGGAAGTGCGAGCCCTGGGTTAACTTGGGGGCTCCTTCACAAACTGACAAGGAAGAAGAGAGAAGGGAGGAGGAAGAATAAATAATTGGCCTCAGGACCAATCCGAGGCACGACAGGAGACACCAATATCACTTCCCACTCGAGCGGCCTCTCTGATGTCCCACGCTCCAAGAAGCCGGAGCTAGGAAGGAGGGTCGTCCCCTGGCGGGAAGGAGGGGGAAAGAACCTAGCCCCCGTTTCCCATCACCTTGGGGTTCCAGGCCTCCCGGGAACAAGGTCCGCCCCTCTGTTTACCTTGGTCATGCCAACCCCCACTACAAACACCCGGCGCTGGGGCGGAGACTTGCACGCGCGAGAAGGCATGGCTGGGCCTGCTGCCGGCAGACACAGGCTCAGCAGAAGCGGGTTCCAACCGACTGAAGCCCCGGCAGCAGCAAGCGCTCTCAAGGTAGGCCGGTGGGGCGGGAGGCGGGGCCTGCCGGGCGGACTCAGCAGTGCGCATGCGCGGCTGCGCGTGCCCTGTGGGGTGTTAGATAGTCTGATCCTACCGGGACCAAGCTCTCAGTATCCTAACACAAGTCACCTCCCACGCCCTGGGCCTGTTTAGTCTTCACCTTGAGAGAGAAGACCTGGAGTAGGGCCTGAGACAGGAGGGATTGGGCAAAAGGGGATTCTACATGCCTGAGATTCTTTAATGTTCTTTTAATGAGAGTCTTTTTAACTTTCTCTATTGCATTAGTGATGGTGGTAGGAGAGTCAATGCATGAGATAAACTTACAGTATAGGCTCATCAAGGAAAGGAGAAGCTTGCCCATAGATGCACGATCTTCAGTCTCCAGCTGTGCGTCTTTGTTTTCTAACCTGAAATTCTCAAAAGGTGTTTTGGTAGGATAAAATGAGTGATGAGGTGGAATAGAAGCAATAAGGATAAGTAGAAAGGGGGCTTGCAGGACGAAACAAGAGTGGCCATGGTATAAAGTCCACTTTCACATGGATTAAGTAAAAGTCCAGACTTAAAGGTCATGTTCACATACCTGGACACAAACAACACTATTAAATCAATTGTTAAACTTTAGCCACAGGTATTGTTGTAGGGACAGACAAAGCAAGGCACCAAAGATAGCAGGAAACAGTTTTATTTGGCTGCAGCCAGGTTCAGAGGGCACAGCTTTTGCTGTTAATCAATCAAACCCCTGAACCCCGAGTTCAGGTAGTTTCAGAGTTTTATACCCAGCATGTAAGGGAAGGGGCTCAGAAGTTCACAGCATACAGAAGTTTACATAAAAGCAGTTTTTTCTTTCACTGTTCTGGGCAAGTTAAACCTTCAAGGACATCACCTGAGAAGGGGAGAGCTTCTTCTCCCCTTTTTTTTCCTCCCCCTGCTAGCTGTACCATGGAGCCCAATTGGTAACTTTTCTTATCTTAGAAATGTAGACATCTCTGTGAAGCCCCAGCTCAAGGCCAGAGGTTAACATGTCTGGTTCTCCAAACTACTATACTGGATACAAGTTTGTGAAAAACTGGTAAGGGGGTGTTCACACCTGGAGTGCTGATTTCTTCCCAGCCAGTGGCCAAGTAAATCAGGGCAACACAAAAATAGGAAGTTTATCTACGTTGAACTCATTTGCAGAGACTCTTTTGCTGACGGTCCCAAAATCAACCATGGTGAAGAGAGGAGGCCCTAAGCAACTTAGATGCCTCAAAAAATAAAGAACACTAGGGATGTAGCTCAGTGGTAAAGTGCCCCTGGGTTCAATCCCTGGTACCAAAAACAAAGAAAGAAAGATAACCTCATGCCAGTAATGGTTAACATGTCTGGTTACCAAGCAGAATTAAAAATACCTTCTTAGATCACATCTCTGTACTATAGATTTATATGTATAAATATGCCTAGCAAAGATGTAGCAAATGCATTCCTCTTCAACGCCCTTACTCTACCCTGTCTCTCAAATTGTGTACTTCATGTCATCACAGAAAGGAATGGGTCAGAATGGGTCAAAGTGAGGCACAGATCTCCCTTTGACCCATTCTGACCTACCTTCCATCCTGCCATGAGGAGAGCAGCTTTCCTCTACTGTTGCACTTGGGCCATGGTGTTCTGCCTTATCTGGCCTAAAGCAATGAAATCAGCCAACCATGGGCTGAACCTCTGAAACTGTGAGCCCAAAATAAATTCTTCTTCTTCCAAATTGGTCTTTTGGGGTATTTTGATCACAGCAATATAAAGCTGACAGTGTGTGTGTGTGTGTGTACTATTTTAATGGGTTCTTGCTATGTCACCCAGGCTGGCCTTAAACTCCTGGACTCAAAAAATTCTCTTGCATCAGACTCCTAGCAGCCAAGACTACAAGCACATGCATTACCATGTCGAGCAGAGATTGTGCATTTATAATTCTACCAGATATTTGCTAAATACTTTCCAATTAGAGACATCCCCCTCCAGCAGTGTGAGTGTATTCTGTATATATAGCTTTTATACTTAAAATAATAAGATTTTTAAAAAATTAGATATCAGTTGAGAAGATATTCTAAGGGAGCATTTCTTCTTAAAACAATCTATGTTTTAAAAGGAGGGGGGAAAAATGTTGTTTCCTATGGTCATGGGAACTATCATCCCATTTTCTTTGCTCCTTTGCTAAGTAAGCTCCCTTAGAGTCCCAGAAACAGTAATATTATAGAAAGAGGGCAGAGCAACCATTTTATTCTTTAAACCAGGCCCAAGATTTCCTCTTAGAACTTCCTCCAATTAGTGTATTAGTTTGCTAGGGCTGTCATAACAAACTACCACTAGGCTGAGTGGTTTGAACAATAGAAGTTTACTTTCTCAAGATTCTAAAGGCCAAAAGTCCTGTTTCTCGGGCTGGGGATGTGGCTCAAGCGGTGGCCCGCTCGCCTGGCATGCATGCAGCCCAGGTTCAATCCTCAGCACCACATACAAACAAAGATGTTGTGTCCGCTGAAAACTAAAAAAAAAAAAAAAAAAAAAAAAAAATTAATATTAAAAAATTCTCTCTCTCTCTCTCTAAAAAAAAAAAAATCCTGTTTCTCATATGAGGTTTCTCTCATTGGCTTATGGATGGCCATTTTCCCCTGTGTCTTCACACAGTCTTCCCTCTATATTCATCTCTATTCAAATTCCCTCTTCTTGTAAGGACACTGGTCTTACTGGATTAGGGCCCACCCCCATGACTTCATTTGAACTTAATTACCTCTTTGGATATCCAATCTCCAAATATCATGAGGTACTAGGGGTTAGAACTTCAACATATGAATTCGGGAGGACAGAATTCAGCCTGTAACATTTAGCATTAACCTCTTTTACTCATGAGAAGTGAAGCCTTGTGCTTGTTCCCAAACCTTCTGTAAAAATCTACCACATGCATTTTGTCTGTGGTTTTTTTAGGGAGTGAAGGAATTGTAACCATGTCCAGTAAGTTACAGAGAAGAGATATGGAAGAAAGGCCAGATGATCCTTAATATGAATTAATTCATTGAAAGCAGGGGCATAGCATCAGAAATGACCAGGCTTAATATAAACCCAAATTTTTTTGGGGGGGTGCTGAGGATCAAACCAGGACCTTGCACATGCTGAACATTCACACATTCACTCTATCACTGAGCATACCTCCAGCCAAAATTGCAATTAATCTTGAAAGACACAGGGGAAAGCTTAGATTTTCCCATTAGGCTCTAAAAGGGAGTTAAATCCCCGTTTTATTTAAACTTTAATGGAAGAATTGGGAGCTTAGCTCAGTAGTAAAATGCTTACCTAGCACATGAGAGGCCGTGGGTTCCATCCCCAACACACAAACACAGACGCACACACACACACAAAAAAAAACCTTAATGGATATAGTGATGACCCAAAAAAGCTGGAATATTTGAGTGACATTCCAAATTAATTACTACCAATAATAATTCAACATTTATTGCGAGCCAGGCAGGTGCTAAGTATTTAGAAGGCAAAACAGTATCAGTGTTTTAAGAAGGTTATGGAGTCCTGAGATCAAACATAAACCAAGCTACTAGCTGGCCATCCTCAGGAAAGTTACTTAACCTTTCTGATTCATGGCTTCCTTCCATTTGTAAATGAAGATGATAACAATACCTACCCTATGGCAGTGGTGTGCCTGGCAAGCACAGTGACAATGGTGATAATGAAGATGAATCCTCCAGCCCTTGATTCCAGTCAAGGTTTATTACCACCACTTTGCAGACAAAGAAAGAAGGGTGGAGGTTAAGCAATTTGGTCAGGGACTTATTGAAAATAAGCAAGTAACTAAAGGAAAAAATAAATCTTCAGCTTCACTTGCCTTTAACTGATTTTAAAAATCACTAACTTTGGAGGTCATGCTGCTGAGCAATAGATGAGTCTTTCTCCAGCTTGGCTTAGAGGACACCTCTGACTGGAGCTGCAAATGGATGAAAAATGTTGCCTTTTTCTGTCTCCTCTGTTCTCTGGTGAAAGCTGTTTTTTGTATCCTAATGATTAACTGCAAGTTTAGCTCGTCCAGAAAAAGGAACTCAAATGAAACACACAATTAAACTTACTGGGCTGGCGATGTGGCTCAAGCGGTAGCACTCTCACCTGGCATGCGTGCGGCCTGGGTTGGATCCCCAGTACCACATACAAACAAAGATGTTGTGTCTGCCGAAAACGAAAAAATAAATGTTGAAATTTTCTCTCTCTCTCTTTAAAAAAAAAAAAAAAAAACTTACTGATCATTCACTTTTCTCTGGATTTACAGAACCCAGGACAGACACCTGGCAGTCCTCAGATAACATAAAAATGTGGGCCAAGGACTTGCTCATATTGTTCTTTAGTTAAAAGTGGAATCATGTTTAACTTGCAGGGAAATAATGTGTTTGTTTAAAAATTCGTTTTCAAAAGCCAGCCTAGGAAGTGAAGGTCAGTTATTAATCTCAAGGATGTTCCAGCAAAAAAAGAAAAATACCCCCTTGAATGACAAATACAGTTACGGAGCCTGGATGTGCACCTCAGCACATAGTCTTTCTGCCCCTCCCCTTCCTTTCCCTCTATAAAATCCCTTTGTGTCCCTGAGTTCCCTAAGATGGGGCTTTGAAGACAATAGCCCCTCCGTTCGGTTATCTCAGGCCACCTGTTCAATAAAACTGATTTCCTTTCCACCAGCTCATGTCTCCCGAGCATTGACTTTTGAGCAGCAAAAGACCAGATTTGGGCCTGTTAACAAGCATTGGAGCCAAGAAGGTTTGGGCCAAAGTTGACTGATAGCAAAACTCATGATTTTAACTCCTAGTAATAATTATGCCATTCTCCTTCCTGATCCTGATTATTCCCAGGATTGGTGAACGTGAAAAGACACAAATTTCATTTTTGCCTTCAACCCCAAATTTTCCTTTGATTTTCCCTGGAGGTTCCAAAGCTTTCAGGTAAACAGGAACCCTGGAAGTTCATTTAAAATCCTAGGAATCCAGGCTGGGTGCAGTGGCACATGCCTGTAATCCCAGCAGCTTGGGAAGCTAAGGCAGGAGGATCTCAAGTTCAAAGCCAGCCTCACCAATTTAGCAAGGTCCTGTCAACTCGGTGAGACGCTGTCTCTAAATAAAATATTTAAAAGGGCTAAGGGGCTGAGGTTGTGGCTCAGTGACAGAGTATTTGCCTTGCATGTGAGGCACTGGGTTCGATCCTCAACACCACATAAAAATAAACAAAATAAAGATATGCTGTCTATCTATAACTACAAAAAATTTTAAAATTTTTAAAAATTGACTAAAACCAACTACATTTATGGTCTATACCTTCCCCTAGGAGTTTCAAGTTTTCAACAGACTATAAGAGTTCCAAAATAGGTACTTCAGACCAATTCTGCCAAGTGTAATTGTTGTTCGGATAAGGAGACAGACTCCTTCTGCTTCCTACTCTGCCATCTTCCAGAATTCTTTTTCCCTTGTCAATTTTTTTTTTTTTTTTTGGTACTGGGGATTGAACCCAGGGGCAGTCAACCACTGAGCTACATCCCAGCCCTTTTTATATTTTATTTAAAGACAGGATCTCACTGAGTTGCTTAGCACTTAGCTTTGCTGAGGCTGCCTTTGAACTCTCAATCCTCCTGTTTCAGCCTCCTCAGCTGCTAGGATTTTCACTGTGCACCACCACACCAGGTATTCTTGTCAAATGCTTGTGCATCAGTCAACAATATGATCAGATGTTTTTTCTTTAGCTTGTTGATATAGCAGACTACATTGATTTCCAAAAGTTAAACCATTGAACCAGAGGGCTGAGGGATGTAGCTCTGTGGGAAAGCATTTGCCTGGCGCACACACAAAGCCCTATGCTTTATCACCAGCACTGGAAAAAAAAAATGAGCCAGCTTTGGATATTTGAAATAAATTGCATTTATAAATTGCATTAGGACATGGTTATAATAATATAATATATATAATAATAATCCAACAATTGTTGGATTTTATTTGCTAATGTTTTGTCAAGGATTTTTTTGGCCAGTGTTCATAAGAGATATTAGTCCATAATGTTCCTCTCATATAATGTCTTAATCTGATTTGGTATTAAGATAATGCTGGCCTCAGAGAATGGATTATGAAGTATTGCATTCTATTATCTGGAAATGACTGTGGATAACGGGTATTATTTCTTCCTTAAATATGTCCCCTCTGTCTTTTCTCTTTATTTCTCCATTTCCTACTTCTAGTTCTCTAACTCCTTTTTGCCCCATGCCTTCTTCTGATCTCCTTCTCCCTTCCTTCACATTCTTTAGGCCAACAGCTAGTGCAAGCATCCCTAGTCTAGCTTGGTGGGGTGGTCTCAGTCCTGAGAGTCAAGGAGGTCTCTGTACACTGACTCAACTGTCCATCCTCGTCTCATCTGAGAATGCTCTAGCCAGAAAGAATACATGAAATGTGGAAACAGAAAGAAGATTTAATCATATTCTGTTTTAACCCTCATATGTGATCCAGTAAACAGGCAACAGAAAGACACTACCCACCCTCACCATCCCAGATATGTGCCTGGCCATCCACAGCCAAGTTCTTCCCATACCCCCAGCCTCTCTTCCAACCCTAGCAGGTGTCCAGGCCCACCTGGATGAACTCCTCAAAATAGGGTAATCCTTTGGGAAAGGGGACAATAGCCCAACCCTTGCCCTCAGAACAGAGCCTGGCACTCATTCATTCAGTAAATATTTATTGAGTGACTGCTATGTGCTTGGCAGTGAAGAAAACAAAGTCCATGTTCTAATGGAAATTTTATTTTAGTGAAGAAAACAAAAATAAGTTATTTTCTAATAGTGATAAATGTCTTGAAGCAAGTATTTTCTAGTGTTAAGGCTGCAGACCTCGTTCCAACTCAAAGTTCAAGCCCTATACTCCCAATCCTGAACTGCAGGCCCCTCTGTTGGGCTCTCTTATCTGTTGTTGTCTGCCTCTCACAAACCATTTCCTCTGAGGTCAGCATCATTCAAAAGCATCATGTTCCAAAAGAAACTTATTTTCTCCCCCACCTGGCTCCATATCAATGTGGAGGGGCTGACCTAATTCTTTCCCTAGGGGATGTTCTCTCTGCAGCCCTAGTGATCATATTTAACCACATGCAGCCTCCATCTCCTAGCTGAACCCCAAATGGGTGCCTGGGCAATGCAGGCCCACCAAAAACTCTTGGAATATGGATTTAGACTGATCTGTGTTGCTTGATAATGGTAAATGCTTAAATTAAAAAACCATGGAGAGAAGAAGCCAGGTGTAGTGGTATATATACCTGTAATCACAGTGGCTCAGGAGGCTGAAGCAGGAGGATCTCAAGTTCAAGGCCAGTCTCAGCAACTTAGTGGGGTGCTAAGCAACTTATGAGATCTGTCTCTAAATAAAATATTTAAAAGGGCTGGAGGTGTGGCTCAGTGGTTAAGTGCCCCTGGGTTCAATCTCTGGCAAAAAAAAAAAAGCCATGGAGAGCTGAGGAAGCTTCAGTATGAAAGGAGCCCAGGAGAAGCAGCAGGATCAGACCATGCACCTCCAGAAAGGAGGCATCTGGCTCCTTTTATGGACTGAATATCTACCCTGGATACCCTGACAATTCATGTATTGAAGCCTAATCCCAACTGTGGTGACAGAAGATAGAGACTCAGGGAGGTAATTAGTTTGTGAGGATGGAACCCTCATGAATAGGAATATGCCCTTGTAAAAGACAGAAGAGCTTGAGTTCAACCCTCTCTGCTGTCTGCCATATGAGGCCACAGAGAGAAAATGGTGGTAAAACCTGAAGCAAGCCCTCTCAACACTGGGACTGGTAGTGCCTGGCTCTGAGACTTTCTAGCTTGCCAGACTGAGAAAGAAGTATTTGTTGTTTAAACCACCCATCCCATAGTATGCTTGGCATAGCAGCCCAAACCAGGACATTTCCAACTGCCCATTCTGCTCATTGTACCCTGGTACTAAAACTCTTTTACTTAAGCCAGTTTAGGTAGCTTTCACTTGTAATTGGTACTTGTAACCAAAATATCTCTGGTTGGTTGTTCGCCCAGGACGCAAAACAATAGTAATCCCGCTGGTTGTGGTGGGCGCACACCTATAATCCCAGCGGCTAGGGAGGCTGAGGCAGGAAGATCATGAGTTCAAAGCCAGCCTCAGCAATGGCAAGGCACTAAGCAACTCAGTGAGACCCTGTTTGTGGCTCAGTGGTTGAGGGCCCTGAGTGCCCCTGAGTTCAATCCCCCCAGTACCAAAAACAAACAAACAAAAAACCAGTAATCTTATTTTTGTTAAAGAGGCTGTATTAATTGGTGACAAAGAGACCCCCCAAATAGCAGGGACTTGAAAGAGAATTTTTAGATCACCTAACAGTACAGCATAGGGCAGAACTGTTGGTGGCTTTGGGGTCTTCAACAAATAAAGGGTAGGAAATGAGGGGACAGGGAGCATATTCACTGAACACTCTTGAGTGTTCCACTACATGGTAGCCAAACACCGCCCTGCTAGAGTCTGTAAAGGGAGTTTGGGTGGACAACGGGAGACAGAAGCTAGCAATTCACGAATATTTTTGTGAGCCAATTTATTGAGCATTCAATTGGAAGGAGCATTACATTTAGTGAGAGGTGAGGCACTGGCCTCACTGTCACCCTCCATTATATTTGAGGCACAAACGGGAGGCGACTCAGGGAAGTAAGTGAATGTAGACAATGCTCGGCTAATGAATGCCATATTTTAAATGAAAGCATATCTATTGCATATATGTGTAAGCAAAGGTCACACATCCCATTCAATCTCCATGCCACCACGAGGTAGTCACTGTCGCTATTCCTGTTTTTCGAATCAAAGCACAGACAAAAGCTTTGCCCCCAATCACAAGGAGGTGCAGAGCTTTTCCACCACCACCCTGGGCTAAGGACAGGGGCGCTGCGTCGGCCCGTAGGTGGAGCAGTTTGCAAGGCCTCGCCCGCCGCCGGAACTGCGCGTCTTCCGCGGAGCCCAGGCAACTGCCGAGCCAAGTAGCACCTTCCCAGCCCGCGCTATGCTGCGCGCTCTGACGCTCCTGCGCCCTTGGAGGCCCCTTGGGGTCCGCGGCTGCACCTCCGATGGGACTTCAGGGGGCCATGAAATCCAAGTGCGCGCCCTGGCGGGTCCCGACCAAGGTAAAAGCGGCGTCCCAGCGCGCGCCCAGGAGTCGGCCGGGCTCGGCCGGACTGAGACAGACGATCCCCGAGCCCAGCCCTGCTGCAAAAGCCAAAGCGACGTCCCGCGCACCCGCGGCTCGCGGGAAGACTACTAAGGCCTGTGGGCTCAGTGCTTTTGAGAACTGGATCTCAAATTGCCTGCCTCCCAGTCCAGGTTCTCTTAGTGGCTCAAGGCCGGCGAGGAGGATGCCCGGATTTGACTGGGATGGGACTTTGTCGGTCTCCTCAACTCCCCACTTGATGCCCTCAGTCTGTGTGAGACGGGGGAAGAGTCGCTTAGGGATAGCACTGGGTTAAAATACCGGATCGTTTTTTCCAGCCAAAGATCCTGGCAAGGTTCCGGGGGGCGGAGATGGCGGAGCCAATCCCGCTGGGCGTGCGGGGACTCGGGGAAGGGAGGTGCAGGGACAGGTCGTATGTTTTCCCTGCGCGCTTATTCTTCAAACTTTTGCTTCCCTCTGAAAGTTAACAGGTTGTTAGCAGATACCACCATTGATTGCATGTTGTGTTCGGGTTTTGTGTGTTTGTTTCGGGTGCATTCCGTGAGCTGACCTTTGTCCTTAGTTCGCTGCGCTGAGCCATCCAGGTGAGATCCTTGTGGTGGCTTTGCTTCTCTTTACAATCTCATCCCCTTCCACTGACATTTGATGAACTATTTGTGTCTGAGTTTTAATCTACGCCATTAGCAGTATATTATACATCTCGTATTTCTTATTTATGCCCTGACACTGTTTTAAAAAGCTATTTTCCCACATAAATCTAGTTCCTCGCTGTTGTACACTATTCCTTATGTGCATCCGCCACTTTTGATAGACACAAGGGCCACCAGCGTCCCACTGAATCAACTTTTTGAGGAGGTAGGATTGCTGGACCTTAGAAATACCCCATATTCTCATGCTTGGTTCACTGACAGACTGGCAACAGTGCTTGCCTTGAGATATTTTTTATTCTTTTCCCCACTATCCAATTACAAAATTTTGGGGTTGGGGATGTGACTTAAGTGTTAGAACTTTTGCCTGGCATGCACGAGGCTCTAGGTTCATCCCCAGACCTGCACAAAACAAAACAAAAATGAGGCATAGAGGATTTAGCAATTAGAATCAGGTCTGATTACAAAGTCTGTTTGTTCTGAACCATGAGGTCATCACTGATTCTTCCAGTTACTCATTGATTCATCAAACAGATTTGTACATCAGTAAGTTGGATTTTTGGACTCACATGTAAATATTGGAATCCTTCCATCTAGAAGCAAATAACAAGAATCAGTCGATTAAGCCTTTGCCCCTGCCAGAGGGCTTATAGGAGGGTGAAAGTCAGGGACAGAGGAGAAAATGAAGCCAAGGAAAAAGTCATGGAGGAGATGTGAGGAAGAAATCACACATAGGAGAACTACCCAGAAAATGACTCAAGAGTCATTTGGTGTTCTTGTTAGAAGCCACAGCTCTGTCTTCACTGGGGCAGATGGCACCAGAGCATTGCCACATTGTACTTGTTGTCCTGGAAAATGGGAGTGGCTGGTTCACAGTTCTTCATCCTTCTTTAGCAGGTTTATTCTTTATAGTTCATGGAGTAATTCTACTCCAATCCTTACCTGGGCATTCAAGGTTCTCTGCCCCAGCCTGGCCTTTCCATCTTCCTTCATGGTTCTTTTTTTTTTTTTTTAACCTTGTGTGTGCCTTTGTGTGAGGGAGGGAGAGTACTGGGGATTGAACCCAGGGGCACCCTACTACTTAGCTACATCCACAACCCTTTTTCCTCAATCTTTTTATTTTCATTTTGAGACAGGGTGTTGCTAAGTTGTCATGGCTGACGTTGAACTTGAGATCCTCCTGCCTTAGCCTCCTGAGTTCCTGGGATTGCAGTGTGAACCACCACACCTGGCTCCAATGGGCTCATTTAAAGCTTTCCTGTCTCTGTGTTTTGTTCCAGCTGTGTCCAGAAGGTCCTGTCCCTTCCTTTCTGCCGCCATGAATCTTTCTGGAATTCCCCTGCCATGCTGCATGTCCCGCCTCCAGTTAAGTTTTGTGTGTCTGGGCTTGTCTTCTTCATAGGTAGTTAGCTTTTTTTGCAATTCTAGAGATCAAATCTATAGCCTCAAACCTGGGCAAACCTCTACAACAAAGCTTTACCCCATCAATTAGCACTTTGTGGGTGAGGTGTGCTAGCTGCATCCTGCTGTTACTTGAGCAAACACTCTTGTTTTCTAGACCTCAGTTTCCCCTTCTGTATAGTAAGAGGTTGTTAAACTAGTTGTTCTCCACACTACCTTCCAGTAATTTCTTTTGACCTGCCCATACACCATCCAGCCTGTGATCCAGGCCATCCAGACAGAAATGACCTTGGTCAGCTGCTCCGGAAATGTTCATGGTTTGGTAAGAGAAGACAGGCACACGGCAGAGCCACCCTCACTACTGGAGCAGAAAGGGCAATGTTCCTAGAATCCAGGCTGCACCAAGAAGGCAGGGACCATGGCTGAGTCCTGTTTCTCCAGAACCTGGCATGTGATACAGCAAATTGTTGCCAAGTGAATGAATGAAAGCCAAATACTCCTGCCTGGCCCCTCAGGGCTTCCAACTTGGAGTAGTCTTCTGTTAGGTCCCAGAGCTGCCCTAGGCCCAGGACATTTTGCCCTGCTTACTGCAGACTCAAACTCTGGCTATACACTTAGGGACCTTTCTCTTTTAATCCTCATGACAATCTTTTAATTATTTCCCTTCACAGATCAGGACATTGAGGGTCTGAAAGTAAAGGGACTTATCCAAGGCCATGGAGCTGGTGCATCTGATCTGTGACTTGAGCCAAAGACTGATTTGGCAGTCAGGCTTGACATGGTGGGTGCACACCTGGAATCCCAGTGACTTGGGAGGTTGAGGCAGGAGGATTGCAAGTTCAAGACCAGCTTCAACAGCTTAACGAGACCCTGTCTCAAAATTTAAAACAAATTAAAAGGACTCGGGGTATGGCTCAGTGGTAAAGTGCCTAGGTCCAATCCCCAGTAGCCAAAAAAAAAAAAAAACCAGTGATTTGGCAGTCAGTTTTCTGGGTACAACATAAAAATGGGAGAAGAGATAAAGTTAAAAGATGAGAGAGTCAGTCAGAGACAAAGGAAGGACAGAACAGGGAAGCAAAGCAGAGAGGGGAACATTTCTGTCAATGTTAGGACATGGTGACTAGATTAGTTTTCTGTTGCTCTATAACAAATGAACATGGGGTGTTCTCTGAAGAGAAGGGCAGATCAGCAGGCACAGGCCCCATGTCACAGGCTCTCCCTGTACACTGAATTCCTCCAGTTTTGGAAGGCACCCTGTTCTCCCTGCACCAGGTCCTCAGCTACGCTGCTCCCTCTGCTTGCAATGTGCTTCACTCCTGGACTGCCGCAGTCTGGCTGGGCACAATTCAGGAGCCACTTGTCAAAAGAAACGAACTTTATTTTTAGAACACACGCCACACCACAGGAGCTCTTCAGGAAAACCTTCAGAGCCCAACTGCCACCACCTGGCTTCCCACAAGCCTCTCAACCTCCCCCACTCCTCCTGCTCTTGAGGCTGATTGGCTGGGTCATGTGGGCGGAGCCAAAAAAAGTCCCCCAATGACCAGCTCCGTGGTCTGAAAGGGCAGGGAAACAGCCCAATGAGCATCACCGCAGATGAGCCAATCAGTTGGCAGCTAGAAGTTTGCTGGGGCCGCTGTGAGCCAATCATCAGCTGGCAGCTGGAAGTTTGCTGGGGCCCCTTTCAGCTGTGGCTCTCAACATCTCCCCCTCTCTGTTTAAACAACAAGCATGTGGCTTAGGGACCCTGCCTGCCTTAGGTTGTCTAATACTACATATGGTCCTTACCCGTCGTCGGATGAGCTGACCTTAAGGCGTCAGCCTCCTGTCTTAGGTTGGTACCATTGAAATTGGATCTTACCCGTCATTGACTACCGGTCCAGTATACAGCCACACCTGTGGATAGGTCTTTGTACCAGAAGGGGGGTGAGGTTCTTTGCCTCACCTCTGTTGGCCCCCAAATTTTAGCTGAACGACCATCACAAGCAGAAGGGAGGAGGATACACCAAGCCAATTGGCGGCTCCTTTTGGAAAAATTGTACCACCGATGACACCATCAGCAAAAATACCCCAACACTACCACAAGTCGCTGCACCAACAGATAGTTCACAATGCATACAAGTGAGTTCACAATGCATACAAGTGATACATAGTCCAGGCAAGTTCTGCAAGCAGTTCAGTGATGGCTATTGCAGAAGCTGTGGGTTTTATCTTTGTCTTCACCGGCACTGGGATGAAGATAGGAATTCTGGCAATAATGGCTAAAGAAAAAAATTATGTAACATTCCAGAAGGCACTAAAAGAAAACAATTTTCTGAACAATTTACATTATCTTGAACAGAATTATTAAATATAATGAAAAGGAAAGGTGAAAGTAAACAAACAGAACTGTTAACCTCCTTTTTTTTCACATATTAAAACAATCCTCAACAGCTGTTTACCCAATTTAAATTAAACCATTAAATCATGTGAATAAAAAAAAATATTTGGATCCATTTTTTTCATGAGCGCTCATCATATATGATATATGGACATTCGTACATACAAACATACAACATAAAACACAAGTGTGCACACAACACATAACATAATAGTAAAGGCCTTATAACTTTTTACAGGTGAAATCTCCATTGCAATGTTTAAAAACTCTATAGTCAAAAAATAGAACTGATCAGCAAAACATTAACCTAGGTCTGTATGAGCTCAAAAAACAAAATAGAACTTCATGATGTGGGAAAGGGTAATAATAAAATAGATATTGAAAAAAGCATCCTGGTTCTGTCGCAGATGTAAGGATAGCCAAACTGGAGTTTTGGATATCAGCTGTTATGGATTTGAACAAAATCATCTTTTTGGTCTGTAGAAATTGCTTTAGTTAATCTTTCTGAAATCCAAATCGGCTGCTGTT